TTCACTGTATGTGAAAAGATCCTGGTAGGATTTTCAAAAAAAAGGCAAAAACTCCAGGCGACCTGAAATAGGTGTTATTATTCAGTGTCTTCTTATATGAGAAGAATTATACACGTACCTTTCGTAGTTCATTAGAGATGTTAGGGTACGTGTTGAGCAGTGAACCCCAAACCCTGCCCTAGCTTATAGCTTAACTTCAACTTCTCTTCGTGGACCTCGAACTCTCAACCGTTTGCCAGACAGTCAAGAGTTGAATCCACTGAACCACTTAAACACAATTTTGGGAAGAATTATTATGATCTTAGCCAGCTGCGACGTATACCAACAGTTAACTTTACAAAATCTAGGTCGTACTCGAACATCTGACTACCGAAGTGGTAGTCCCTTGCTCTATCCATTAAGCCATTACTTCACCTATCCTGAGACTTATCGTAACATTAACTCCTTCAGCGCACATGAGCGCTTGAAAAAATCTTACATACTGGAATCAGCAGGAGGATCTGAACTCTCTACGATCATAACCAAATCCAATCGGTTTCTCCACTGAGCCATGCAGTCACGCTTTTGGACTGATATCCTAATAATTTCCTTAAGATATCTGGCAATTGAAAGAAAAAGATGGCCCTAAGCACATATTATTTGATCTTAGACCACAATAGTATTAGTTAAAGACTCTAACCACTCTGCCAGAAGTACACATTTGCACGAAGAGGTTCCAGCGTCATTACATTAAGATGCAAACAAAGAAGTAAAAGTTCAGAGCGATGGCCTCAAACCATTGATCACCAGAATATTAAATGCTCGAACCACTAGGCTACTCAAGCATGTTAGCAAAAGAGTTTTTGATAAATTTCCCAACCTCAAGAGTCTTAGCCTTAGTTCACCTTCTGATAGGAAGAAAAAACTTTACAATGAGAGGAAGATACACTTGTGTACATACAAACATACAATGTCTCGTTCTATTAGATTTTGTCTTGTAAAAAGTGCATAGAAACAAGCAACGAAAAAACAAAAAAAAAGCAAAAAGAAAGTAAAAAAAGATATCGGTGGTTACGAATTAGACAAGTTTTGTTATTAACATGATATATGAATCAAGGCTTGGGCAAGTTTAAGCTCACCTTATAGTATTTCCAC